GAGATATTGTGTTGCACTATGACATGAATATGCTTGATAATGAAATGTATGATATGCTACGACATGTATGACAACGAGGAGTTTTTCTAACGCACAACCCCTAAGTAACGATATGATGATTTAATGTATGAAAACTTATGCATGCATGTTACCTAGGGTAATATGTGAGAAATGTATGGGATTGTGCCTCATGAATGTCTTAAAATGAAAATAATAGGGACTTCATGCATATTATGTATTTACTAACATCGGGATACTTCTCTTTTTATGATGAATAAGGACGCATAGATGATAAGATGACCACCATGCTTGGTATGATGCACGAAAGTTGTTGTGTGAGCCCGCTTGGTGGACCCACATTTGCACATGTGGATCATGTGTAGGAAAGTGTCACATATTTAATTTGTTTGGACTGAAGACCACCTAAGAGACTATGGTTTTAAAAGATAGGTTCTATTCATGATTGTATGTGTTTGCATTCCTTTACCCAAACGATGGGTCACTTACTGAGTATTTCGTAAAATAATCAAGTCATGGCTACTTTTAGATACCAGGTAAAGACAAAATACCTATGTACGATTGATGGCGACATCGCATAAAAAATCTTAATTGAAGCCAAATTGCCTTGAGGGATTATTTACCTAAAAGAGGAAATGGGAATATTGATGGGGGACGGATATTTCAAAGTTATGAATCTCGAGATAGCGAGTAAAGCTCTGCGTTTTAAGATAAGATGATTATAATTGTTAAGAGTAGGGGTGTACATGGTCCGGGTTGGGTTGAGGGATTTTCTTGGCCCAACCCAAATCGATAAAATATTCTGATACAATCTCAGGATTATCAAATTAAATAAATGATTAATTTAAAGATAGGTGTCCTGAGAGAAGCCGAGGTACCACTCTGACAAACTTATTAATACGGAACAATTTCTAATTGAATAATTTATATATTTTTATTTGTCTCGGGTCAATCCGAAAGTTTTATCCATGAACCCGAAGCCAAACCGATTCAGTTCGGGTTCAGAAAAATGAATCTAACCCTTATAGTTTGGGTTGTCGGGTTGAATGTACACCCCTAATAAAGAGATTAAGGGAATATGACCAAGTGAATGGGTGTCGCTTGTGATCCAATTTGAGAAAATTATATTTAAGTGAGTTAAATTAAGATAATAAATTTTTTAAAATTTAGTCCTCGTTCCATTAGATTTTAGCAAACTCGAATGACTCCGACATGCACAATCCACCTGTTTAATGACTCGTTCTTCTCACCAAGGTCGCTTGAACAACAACAACAATGGTGGTAATCCCCCCTCATCTCAATGATTGTAAGCAACGACGACAATCTTTTCCAACACATAAGCAACGGTGGTTCCTGCATCCCATCTTCGATTGACCTTATCAAGCTTTTTATACGAGGCATATGCACGTGATGAATTGCTTCTTCTTTGATTTTTAGACTTGTGCGGTAGCAAATACAAGCTCGTATCAGAAGGACTCTTCTAAGGTATCCAACAACATTAAAGCATTGAATGTGAGATCAGTGTGTATGAAATTGATGCGTACACGGTAAGATCCAAAAATTACGATAAATTAATACAAGCTTGGAGGGTTTTGTATGTATGAAAGTGGTCGACATCCCGAACATAAGAAAATAACTAAAATTCAAAGCCATGATTTTAAATCCCGTTATAAAGAAAAACATGTTTGCATGCATATGCATTTTTCGACCTGAGTAGTGTGGTTAGATACTAACCATCACATTTTCTAATTTTTTTTCCTCTCAAATAAGAGTAAAGGCATCCTAGACGAATGATAGTGATTGCTATCTAAGCTAAGAGATATCCAAACAAATCGTTCGGTTAGATATATCTATATATATATATATATATATTTTAAATTGGATTGAATTTTTGGAAGACCTAAAATTACGGTCGATGGGTTGACATTTTTTGGTCTGGTCAACCCGACAAACCCGAAAAGTAGGGTTACAAGTCAATCCAATTCTACACTATTATTAATATTATTATGAAAATTAAGAATATTTAATAGTTATTACCGATGTTAACGATGCACTGTAACTTGTGAATGTTTGATATTTGAGTTTCACGAGATTTTAGTTATTAATGTAATATTTACTAGAATAAGTATTTTTTTTAAATAATTAAAAAAAAACAACACTGACCTAAACCTAATTCAATCCATTTATGGACATTATATTAATTAATTATGAATATCAAATTAAATACTAATTGTGAATAATAATTTGTAGATTTCCTTTAATTATAATATGAAATCAAATTAGTAAGTTAATTATTTCTAAAAAATTAGCTTGAAAATATTTAAAATTCTTAATAAACAAATAAAAGTAATTAAATAATTTTGAGGTTATTTCTAAACAAACAAAATTATAATAATATTTTAAAAAATAAGGGACAAAATTTAGATATTTTTTTATTTATAATTTAACATTTTTTTTAATTTAAAGAAAAATTATAATTTATCCGCTAACCGAATTAAAATAATACAAAAAAAAAACCAATATTTTATCAAAACAAAATTTCTAATTTAAAAAGAAAATTTGTAAAATTAGTTTTTTTTTTTTTTGGTTTTTTATAAAAAGAAAAAAAGAAAAAAGAAAAAGAAATCAGGGAAGGGCATTTATGTAATTTAGCTTACAAAACCCTAATTGGGTGGAATTGGTGGATCGTATTTGTAGCTCATTCCGCAACCCTTAAACCCTTCCGTCCAGTCCTCACTTACTCTCGCTTTATCCTCTCGTAGTTGCCGTTTCATTCGCTCCTTTGCAGCCATACTACGGTAAGCCCTTCTCACTGCCTCTATCTCTCTCTAATTCCACGCTTATGTTTGCAAAAATCATACTTTTGATTCTATAAAAAGCTGTTGTTTGTTGCTGTTGCTGTTGCTGTACTTATTTTCTTTTTGAGTCTTCTAGATCGTTGAAATTCCTCAGAATTGTTGGTAGCTTTTACGTGTCAAGCAGTCGACTTGTTTTTTTTTTTTTTTTCTTTTTTCTTTTGCAAGTAACTGGTGGGTTTTTCGAGTTTTGCTGTTTCTAAGATTTGCAGGAATTGGTTCAAGTATATGTACTTGAAATCCTAGATGTGTTGTAGTTCTATTACTCTTGTTCATGTGTGTTTTACCTAATTAGTTGTTATTCAGAATGTAAGTGGCTTTGTGTGGATTCAATTTGAACCGCGGTGCACTGCTATGAATTTAGGGGAATTTCCCCCTTTTTTTACATAAAAATACCTTTCATGAATTGGTATACACATATGATGTCTTTTACTCGCGAATAGCAACCACAAGGATCTGATTTTTTTAAACTAATCTTTGATGTAAAAGTAGGAACCATGAAGGGACAATTCCTTTCCTCAATCCGGTGTAGATATGTTGTCGGGATTAGTTCGCTTTCTTTGTTATTTATTCTTTTTGCATATACTGTTCAATTCGTGTATACTGTCATGTTTGATTGATATAAGTTAATGAAATATGTGGATAATTTATAAGATAGTAATCCTGTGTAATGTCATTTGGACGAATATGTTAGCAATGTGTGTTTGTCCGCATCTACTTTCATCCTCTTGAATTTCTCATATTTTGTTACTACAATCCATGTCACCTTACGATATGTTATAATCCCTAGGCCATCATGATCTTACATGTGATGTGCCCATGTTTGCTAAAAGTTATTTAGTTATAAGCAATCATGGTGAAGATGAGACATGCCAGATAGTTCCAAGTATTTTACGTCATGGTTTCACTGTTATACTTGCATGCATTTGTATCTAATTTATTCCCTGTTTGCAAGTACATTTACTGACAACAAGGTGTCCTCACTCTTGGATGATAATTTTGCCCATTTAATTTATAAGTTAGACCAGATTGCGTTTCCAATTTGAACAAGGGAGAGAATGAATTTTCAGGAATTCAGACATGCCTTATGTTTGTACTCAACTAGTGCTCACTTTTTCTGTCTTTTTATGTTCATTAGGAACCATGGCTGTTGAAGTTGATGTGGTAAACCAGGAACTGACCCAGCCTCATAATGATGTGAAGCTGTTCAACCGGTGGACCTTCGATGACGTCAATGTGAATGATATGTCTCTGGGTGATTACATTGGGGTTGCTCCTTCCAAGCATGCCACCTATGTCCCCCACACAGCTGGGAGGTACTCTGTCAAGCGGTTCCGAAAAGCTCAGTGCCCAATTGTGGAAAGGCTCACAAATTCTCTTATGATGCACGGTAGAAACAATGGGAAGAAACTTATGGCTGTCAGGATTATTAAACATGCAATGGAGATCATTCATCTTCTAACTGATCTCAACCCAATTCAAGTCATTGTTGATGCTGTTGTTAACAGTGGACCACGTGAAGACGCCACTCGAATCGGTTCAGCTGGTGTTGTTAGGCGTCAAGCTGTGGATATATCCCCTCTGCGACGTGTTAACCAGGCAATCTATCTTCTTACGACTGGTGCTCGTGAGGCTGCCTTCAGAAATATCAAAACCATTGCAGAATGCTTGGCTGATGAACTTATTAACGCAGCAAAGGGTTCATCTAACAGTTACGCCATCAAGAAAAAGGATGAGGTCGAGAGAGTTGCAAAGGCTAATCGTTGAGGTTATTTCTCAGTGTTCGTTCTACGTTGGCACAGCAAGAGTTTTCTCCTTTTCTTGTGTTTACATTCTTCTAATGTAAACACTATAGCCTAATGTGTTCTGTTTTGTTTTTTTTTTGTTGTGACAATTCATCTCTATTTGGTTTCAGACTTGAAAGTTTTTATATCAATGCCCCTTTCATTAGAACAAGCAAATGCATTGTGTTTTCGTAACAGCGTTGTAACTTTATTTCCATTTATCTACCATTAAGAACTCTACCCACAGACGTTTTAGGCTTTAAACGCTTTATGAAACCAACTTTCTCATTTACCAAACACAAACTCAAAACATTCCTCATAAATCTTCATCTGAAAATTTTTGAGACTTCTAATCTGTAAATGTACTTCCCACTGCAGAATTCCTGATTTGAACAGTAAGATTTGGAAAGGGAAATTGGCCCTCTTTGAGCAGGCAGGAGCAGCAACTTTACAAGCAAAATTAGGGTAAAATATTGTAATAATCTCTGTCAAATAATGTATTTACAGAATTTGGAGAAGCTTCTTCTTATTCTTAGTCGAGATAAAAAAGGGTAACGATTTTTCGGAGATTTTTTGCCTCTTGACAAGTTTCCATGAGCAACCTACTATCATGAAATGCAAAGCAAATGACTTGCTGTACATGCGAAATGATGTCCATATTGCATAACCTGCAACTTTCAACAAAGGCATTAGATGGAACATTCAAACTTGAAACATTTTGAAAACAATGTAATGATATACACTTACAAGCAAAGCTACACCAAAATTCTGTTATCTCATTTGATTTTAAATTCAGTTGCAACCAAAGGTATGTCGTTAGAAAATAACTTTACGACGACTTTCATGGACAATCATGAATAGCAGAAATAAGGGTTTTTTTCAAACAACGTAATAATACATTTACACGCAAAGCTACCTGCTAGCTTCTATTAAAGGTAGATGATCGTTGTAGGGCTTCTCTATCACATTCTTAACCTACAAATGCCAAGATAATCATGATAGATAAATAATTCAATGAACATAACAGACCAACCCAATTGAACTCATCAACAAACTTACTTTGGACAATAATTCCTGGCTCTCAGGAGGTTGTTTCTTCAAACTTTGTGGCAAAATGACAGTAAGCAGTTCTGGTTTCTCAGCCCTCAATGCACCTCTGATAACTGCTGCATTGGTTCCAGATGCTCCTGAAGTATAGATGTGATTCTTCTGCATACAGAAGTTATCAAGCAATATGAAGTTTATGTACTCATCAAAAACCAAATAGCCCTTCAGTATAATCATTGACATTAAACCACATATCCTACCGTTATAACCATTGCATAGCTAAGAATCTCGATGAGTTCTTGATGCAAGAAACCCATATTCCGAGTTCCAAAGAAACCAATGGATCTAGGACCTTGTTGTTGAATGGCCAATAACTCCTGTGAAAATAAAAACACATTGTGACTTGAAAGGAGCTTCACGCAAGCATTAAAATGGAGAAATTGTGGGCACTAAGAGCTAAGACTTGAAGCTTTATAAAAGGTCATCCAAAAGAATTACTTCCTCAGGAAATTCTAACATTTGCAAATGCTCAAGTCATGCAGGTAAAAAAACTTCAGATTTGAAATGTATTAGAAGAAAAATATAGTCCATTTTCCTTTTAATCATCTTTTTTCAGAAGATGGCCAACATCCGACATAAGTAATCGAAATGATCGTATCTTATCACTCACCTGTAGATAATCAACATCAGGAACTGGTTTGAACTCAGTCACCATAACTGATCCTGATCCTTCCACTATGGACTGAGCCTGGGTTGGAATTTGAGTGCCTGTCTTCTCATCATTAAACCCAAATCCAAACATCTGCGTTGTATTCTTCGTCTGATGCACATAACTATCTCCATCTTTATCTCCTTTTATATGCCCTTGGATGCACTATAACCAGTACATAAAAAAGATCCCCTGATAGTAAATCATTAGTGAAAACCAACTGCCCACAAATGTGGTGAAGTAGAAACTCGCTATTTATCCATGCCAACTCTAAAATAGTATCAATACCGAACAAAAGTTCCAATTAGAAGGTTCAAGAGAATCAAGTCAACTGGGAATAAAAATCTGTTCGGATAACCTAACAAGATAAGAGCATCAATGTTCCAAAAGAAAATCAATGATTGGCATTGCATATGACAGATGCAAAGATTATGAAGCTGACTAATCATCATAAGTCATCAAGGACAAATCAGTTACAGAAAATACCAAGTTAATCACAAGTTGTTATCAACTTTGATACCTAAAATACGCCATGCAAACAAATTCATCTACACTAGAAATATTTACATGACATCAGCATTTAGACGGGATAATGGATAAGTTTGAATCCATAAAAGTTGTCCTAGAATTATGTTCTTGCTAGAACTACAAGTATAACCATGGTTGATTGACAAATAAGATTAGGTCTGTGTCAACCATATTCGATCAAAATTCAATATTTTCAGACATAGTTTTTGGATCTTGACCACGCATGGGTAAAATCCTCAGCCATCCGCAACAATCAACAAATAATAATAACGAAGAAAAAATTATGTTAATACTTTTTAAGAAAAGAAAGGTGTTTTGGGACCAATTGCTAAAAAGAAACAAATCGCATGTTCTGACACTAAATTTTGGATAGTTTCATAGAGAATCTGATGTTTTTTTTTTTTTTTTTCCTTCTCATGGTGTAAATAGCTCCCCCCTTTTTGTGATTATGCCCTTCATTTCCTCTTTATGATCCAATTGGAAGAATTTGTCGTACTTCAGAAGTCCAGGAGATGAGACTATCATTCCTTTTCTTTTGTATATTCATTAATGAAAGTTGACTTTGATACTGTTCAAAATGAATATAAATTTATCTTATGAATGGGTCAACTACTGAACTTTATAGAAAAAAAATATAACATCCGTAATTTATCTTTGATAAAGGGAAAACGTCATTTTCTTGAAAACAAAGCTGATAATTCTCAGGGATCTCTATGCAATCCTCTACCTCTCTGCCCTCTTCTTGGCTGGAAATAGAAACCTCGGAGAACATATCTTTTTCATCACCTAGCTTTTCCAAATGTTTATTAGAAAACTCAGCCTTGGTATTGGTTGTAGAGCAAAATTTACCCTTTCTTCTTTTCAGAAATGACTTTTCCAGGATCTGTCTCTAAATCTTCCATGAATTCGACTGATTTTGCCCTTTCCTCCGTCTGTCTGCTTTTTGAATTTAGAGGGCAAATCTGGAAAGGCCCACTAATGCAAAGGACTGCTACCACTTTGCTTGGCAGTGGTGTCTACATTCGTGTGGAGCTTGAGGGAAGACTACGATCAGTCATGGGGGTTGTGCAAGCAGTCTTATTAGGCATGTGATTCAAATTTGGGCTGAAGCCTGAAACCTCTCCCTAAACCTTAATAGTCATGGGGGGGTGTGCAAGCAGTCTTATCCGGGTAAAAAATAGTGTCTGATGGGTAAAAGAAATCTTCCCTTAACCTCCACAAATCTATCGAGTTAGGACCTGACATTGTGGCTGCTTCAGATAGAAAACCCACCATGAACTTCAACTTTCTTTTTGGCCAACAACCAGCCAAATTGGAGCGTACTCACATGGGTGGAAAACACCTGGTCTCTATTAAGGAGTTTTCACTTCAGCGAGGATGAATCCACAGTAATTCCCTTGCACTTTAATAGCAACTACTAAGCACTGAATGAGGGAAGAGTTTTGATCTGCACAGTCCACAAAACCCCAACGCAATCACCTATTGCCTTAATGTGGCTCCGCTCCATAAATGCAGGGAATGTTTCTGAAATTTATCCAATCCCCGTAGGAGGGGACCACTGTAGTTTTCCTGCGCCTCAAAGGGGTCCCATCTTTCTAACTTCATTGTCAAGGCTCCAAAAGTAATCCACCCTTACATTTGTGGCTCATAGCCTTGCATACTTGTCGTGGGACACAACAACAGGGCTTTATTAGGGAGGAAGGGATACACAGTGAAAGACTCCTCCAGCAGTTAAAGGGTTTAAGAAATTCATTGTTAAGGGTTTAAGAAATTCTTGCCCAATCGTTGTGGAAGTCTATTCTAGTAATAGAAAACAGTTACCCACTTAAAGAATCTCCGTTGTGCATCATCCTTTTAAGAAGACCAAGAAGTTTCTCTAGTGGTCCATACCTAGGGCTTTTTTGTGGAGTTTGTGGCACCAAATAATCAGTTTTTCATGGTTTGGAGACTAATTTTCATAGTGTTACAGATACCATCCTTTTTCTACTTTTTATTTGTACAAATGAACATCAAAATTTGAAGATTATTTGATTATGTCTCAAGTCTCTATTTGGCTATATATTGTTTGTTTTTTGAGTTCAACAATAGCAGGGTGTAGGATCGAATCATTGATCTTTGGGCTGATTGGTGATCATTTTTGTAATCCACCATTGTGGTTGGAAGTTTCCTTCCTCTCTTCATAACTCTGCTTATCCAACCAAAAAAAAAAAAAAAAAAAAAACTAATAGAAAAAGGGACAAACTGTCAAAATGAATTTATGTGCGGCATGCATTAGGAAAAGGATGAAGGAAATTGACAGTTTTAGGATCTTTTCCCCTCAGAGTTGGATGTTTTCTCCAGAATCTTGTTGAATCATGAAATTTCCTTGCTTTTGATTTTATGAACTAGCGGTTGTCTTACAATTATGTAGAAGACAAAACAATTGTTTGGACGGCTTAAGTAACTATTAGTTTTGAGAGATTTGTTAGTGAAAGGGACAAAATTTGCAGGTGAAAAGACAGATATCATCTATCTAATAGAGCACTTGCTCAAGGGATGACAATGTGTTGAGTTTGGATGCAAATTTCCAGATTTATAGTTATAACGTTAGTGATAGTTTATGAGTTAATCCATCCCAACGTGTAAATTATTATTAGAAACTATATCCAAATAAGTGCATTTTTCCATGTTTTCCCCTCTTTCTTTCATATAAAATTTGACATGTGCGACCCCAAATGTATTGTCGCTGTTAAAACAGATCCCTAAAGGAGATGCCTATTTCATCAATTTAGCAAGTCTACTAACGAAATTAACAGTTTAAGGTTTTGCTATGCTCTAGATAAAAACAAAGTTCCCTGCAACAAACATATATTTTGTTGAGTTTGACACTACAGAAAAAATTCAAACATCTGATCTTTAGAACATATATATAAATTGTAATGTCTTAAGTGGTTGAACTATAGCTTGGTTGGCTCTTCCAAATATATTTTCAAGAGAAAAAAGATATTTACAACAATGGAAACCATGTGTCTTTGTCTCCTTCATTGTGTTATTTGTGCCTAAATGGTGAAGAAACTAATGATTACCTTCTTCTTAGTTGCCACTTTGCAGCGAGAGGGTGAGATCAGTGCCTTAAAGCTTTTGGTCTTGGTGTGTCGTCCTTAGAAGTTGGAACGAGTGGTTGGTAGAATCTCTTAATGGCTAGAAGCTTAAAGACAAGGCAATTGTTTTTTTGTGGAGATGTGTTGCTCGGGCGCTTGTTCGGGAGATTCAGTAGGAAAGAAATAGGAGAATCTTTAAGGATAGGTCCAATTCTTATATTTTGTTTTGTAATAGTGTACAAATTACATTTTATTTGCAGTGTTCTAGAAACAATAAATTCTTTTGCAACTATAGTACTTGTTACAAAAGAATTGGGGAGCAGTGCTTCATTAGTTTTTGTGGGAAGGGTCTCCTTGCCCCTTCGTCCTTAGGTTGTTTCTCTTTTGATAAATATATCTTTGTTTATTCAAAAAAATAACGAGAAACCTTCAACATACGTTTGGAGGAAGATCATTGAGGAAAAACTTGGCTTCCAATTTTGGAAAAAAGGTCGGACACTCTTTCTTCATTCTCCAAAAGGCTCTTGAAAAGATACTCTCAAGCTCAAAAACCTCATTTACTCCAGAATGAAAGTGGCAGTAGGCTTTGGCTCTTCAACATACTTTTGCGAAGATCTTTAGTAGGACATTGTGCCTTTTGCCAAAGCAATTATGAGACTTCATTCTTTACCAAGCCAAAAAGTATCATCCATCAAAGGCCCGTAGATTTCTTCAAACAGAAGCTGGAATCTTGGCATAAGAAAAAGTCACAAGGATGATGAGATTCTTGAAGGGCATCCTATCTCATATTTTGGCAGATTTTCAACCTAACAAACTCGTCAATCATTGGATTTGGATGAGATCTGGATGGCAGCTAAGTGAGCTCTTTTCTTATAGACTTGAGGATCAAGGGGAAGAGTGAGAGTTATCTTCTTTATAATATGATTTGGAAATACCCGAAGAAAGTCAAACCGTTTCTTTTGGGATCTCAAGGGTCTAATGCTTCCCTCCCCTTTTGGCGTAATTTTTCTGGGGTGATGTGCCCTTTGAAGAAAGAGTGAAAAGCACAGGATCATCTTTTCTCAATTGTCATTGCTGTAGTTCCATACAATCCATTTGTAATTGGCACTCAACCAACCCCAGGAGCACCAATGAATATCCTAAACCCACTTTACAATTACGTTAGGGTTGAAATTGAAAAAAAATCGTTTGTTATTTAATGAAATCAATCAATGTCGTACATGAAGCGAACTCCAGATTATCTACCCGCCGTCTTCAACAGTTCAGAAACAACTGCTCTCAACAATCAATTTCAACATCTAGTAAATAATCCTCTCTATTTCTCAATAACCACGTATCTTCTTTTCTTTGTTACAATTTTAGGGCATAAAGAACCAAAGAACTTCTTGAGCATAATAAACACAAAAAGACGAGTACCTCCAAGTCAATAATGCAAGATTCGTAAAGAAACCTACACAATTCTGGCAAGTACGGAGAGTCATTCATTTGAACAAGACATTTGGGAAGACAAAGCAATCAAAATCCGCTCAACCACAAAACAAGAACAGAACAATAACAAGAGCAGGAAAATGGAAAAACACAAAGAAAGAGATAAAAGAAAACAAGAAAAGCGTATGCAGAAATAGAGAGGGAGAAGTTACCAGAGGTGTATGGAGAGAAGCAGGAGGGCGGCGGCGGCGTCCATTAGGGCTTGGGAAGAAGAAGGGATTGGAAATGTTAATGAATCTAAGGGAAGGGGAAGAAGAAGAGGGAAAAGGGAAGAAGACGCAGCAGAGGGATAAAGATGAAGAACAACTCATCCTCTGGACCTCTCTCTCTCTCTCTCTCTCTCTCTCTCTCTACAAAAGTTATTTCGCTTTGCTTTGCTCTCTTTCAGATTTTCTCTCTCTTCTCTCTTTCTTACCTTTTATTTTTTCCTGTAGGGAATATGAGGAGCTAACAAAATATTAAAAAGAGAATATCATCCAAAATTATATTTTTTTTTATTATTATTATTATTTTCATTTTTGTTATGAATAAATACCCTTCTACTTTATCATATTATCTATTATATAATATTAAAATTTACTTCTTTTTTTTCGATTTGGTGTGTAGGGTGAATTTTTAGTAGATGGTTTCGAGTGACGTTAATGTGTAATTGATACGGAAAAATGATGCATGTTACTACCCCGTCACATTCATGATAGAACACCATTGTAAAACACTGTATATCATCGAGTACAGGTTGCTAGAGAAACCTCGGTAGCTAATGATTTGCATAAACCAAAAGAATTTTTTAACAAGATCCACACTTACTGACTTCAACCCAACCCGCGCACAGATACAGTCTAACTTGTTTTAGCCTTCATCTAGCATTGTGTAGCTTGGTCATGAGAATGGCTCGCCTAGGTGAGTCCATCGGTTGCTTGACGTTGACCAATGTCTATGTTAACAATCAGTCCTCTATCTCGTCAATGATTTTGAGTAGTTTGATTGATTTTGACGTAATAATTGGAATGGATTGGTTGGCTACCCGTATCAATTACCATAGAAAGGAAGAAGTGTTTTCGCCGCCATCGAGAGCCATAAATTCAACGGTCCTACACTAGTGTTACCCTCAAGGTAGTTTCCACGATGAAAGCAAAAAGATTAATCCAGTAAGGTGCTTGGGGTATACTTGCCAATGTCGTGGATACAAAAAAGGAAGGAAAGACTTTAAATGCAATGACAGTGGTGAACGAGTTCTCTAACGTATTTTTGGAGGATTTACCAGGGGTACCTCCTTCCCGAGCTATAGATTTCTACATAGAGCTTAAATTGGGTACCAACCCTATCTCCAAGGTACAATTGTAAGATTTATTGGACAAGGGTTTTATCGGCCCTTGTATATTCCCTTGGGGCGCACTAATGTTATTCGTCAAGAACAATGATGGAACGATGCGTTTGTGCATCGATTACAGGAAGCTGAATAAGATAACAGTAAATATTTAATACCCTTTCCTTCGTATAGAGGACTTTTTGACCAACTCAGAAAACCGACAATGTTTTTCAAGATATACCTACGATCATACTACCATTAGATTAAGATCAAAGAGGGAGATGTGATACGAAACACATTTTTGAGATTCAGCTCAATGTCGACTCTATACCATTTGTAACAACTCAGCTCAATGTCAACTCTATACCATTTGTAACAACTCAGCTCAATGTCGACTCTTTACCATTTGTACCAACTCAGCTCAATGTCAGACTCTATGTGAGACTCTACCAACTCAGCTCAATGTCAGACTCTATACCATTTGTAACAACTCAGCTCAATGTTAGACTCTATTACCCTGATGATAATAAATGGTTCTCTATCTCGCATGATCATGATGAGTCAAAGAGAATAAAAAAGATAGGATTAACAACAACATCCTTTGTGCAGTGCATCCGGCTCCACAATGGAATTCGTTTTTACCTTCCATCAAAGGTATAGAAAATGGAGGATCTATCAGACCCAGAACAATTAAATACTATGATGGTGCTTTATTATTTCGTTTGTTATTCAGCAATTCCAAATATTTCGTCTTTCATAATAGAAATATTGTTAAGAGTCTAAAGAGGTCTCCAATAAATCAGCTAAACCCACCACTAGCAAATATGTACTAGAGAGGCAACCCTTTTCACAAAAAAAAAAAAATAAATAATAATAATAATAATAAAAAAGTGCTATATAAAAAATTGTAAAAAAGAATAAATGAAGAGAAAATAAGAGAATTAATTCATTAAAATATGCAATAACCACAATTACAAAAAGGATTCTTCCTCTTCCTCTTCCTCTTCCTCTCACTCTCTCTTCCATCGGTTCTTTTCCAAATCAATCTCACAAAAAAATACGGCAAAAATAAAAAAAAATAAAAAAAAAACAAAAAACAAAAAAATGGCCTAATGGTTGATTGTATTGAACGCATCGCACCTTCTCCTCACATCTCCTTTCTCGCCCGTTTTCACCTCGCGAACGCTCATCTTCTCCATGGCGTGTCCAAAATCCTTGAAGAATAATGCCCGGTTCCCTGCGTACATCTCCACGAATTTCCTCGTCCTCGGATCCTTCGCCAGCGCGTGATCCGACGCCGACACTCCCATTCCTCTCAGCAGATTCTGGTAGTATACGTTGTCGAACTTCCCTGGCGTTACGGGGTCGCTGTACACCGAACTTGCTGGATTCTTCTCGTAGTCGGCGCAGGACTTCTTCAACGCCTCCGCGTATTTCGAATTAATCTCAGGATCTGTTGGCGTGTTTTTGCTGAAATTAAAGAGCCGATCGCTGAATTCCCTGCAATTCGAGAATCCGATTGTGCGTCCGCCGTATAGCGCTACCATTTCTTGAATCGTGAATCCTTTCGCTTCGAATAGCTTAATCAATTCGTCAATTGATTGATTCGGTTTCGGAATGTTACCTTCCACATCTGAAATCTTCGAGACGAGGCTATCTTTTCGCCCTAATTCAACTTTGTACGACGGTCCACCTGAGGCCGCGATGAGATCTCTAGTCGCCTGCGCTAACACATCAGAGCAAGAGACGATCCCAGGGCAAGAGAGCTCTAAGGTGATCTTCGCACGAGTGACAACGTCGAAGGCGTCACCGGGAAGAGCGTGGTTGATTTCAGCATCGCGCTCGGCGTGGTTGAAGACATTGGATGAAATAAGAACAGAGGCATCGCAGCCTCCAACCAAACAATCGCTGAAGAAGAGGCGCATAGATGCAGCGGCGGTGACGGGGCTAGTAGCGTGCTTGCGGGCGACAGTGTCGTGAACGATTTGTGCGAAGTCGGGGCAAGTTTTGTGGTAATAATCGAGAGAAAGCTGAGAGTGAACTGAGAATGGAAGAGATAGGAAAAGTAGAAGAAGAAGAGCGGTAGGGTGAAAGACGGCCATGGCGGGGTAGAGGAAGGAGGTGGGGGAAAACCTGCTTCCTCTGGATGTGTAGTGTTGTGAGGAGGAAGAAGAAAGCAATTGCGGTGTGTGGAAAATGGAGGGATGAATGGGGATTAAGAAGGAGATGGAGGAGTGGATGGGAGAGATTTTGGAAGGTTTGTTAGAGATGGAGCATTGTTAAACATTTAATGCTATTTTTGGTACTTTTATTACTCAAAATATGGTCTACATTCAACGACCAGACAAGATTGGATTGGATTAGCATTTCAATTACGGTGAGTTCATTTTTTAAACAGCACTGAATTGGTTTTGTTTTGGGTTCATGAGCACCACCTTTGAGTTGACCCGAGCTAAATAAATACATATAAAATATATTAAGAATTCACCCCAACTAAATAAATATATTTTACTCAGTATCGAGTTCATGAGCACAACCTTTAAGTTGACCCAAGCTAAATAAATAAATATATATATATATATATGATATATGATATATTCTTCGTATTAATAATAAAAAATATATAAATAAATAAATAAATAAGCATATTTGATTTGAATTTATTTATCAACTTTTAATATATTATTTAAGATTGTATCATAATAATATATTATTTAAAATTGCAAGCCCATTAGGTTGTGTAAAAAAAAAAATAGACCAACCCAACCCAACCCAACCCATGACCAGTACACCCTACTTTCTAGGATCTAACAATCTAAGGCCAGCCTTGTAGCTGACATAGTGTAAGTATGTTATTACTATGGGAGCATGTATAATTACTGGAAGGATGTTCAATATCGATTCCCGATAAGTTAATTCCTGCTAGTGTATTTATCGGGTTGTCCACCTAAACTCGAGGTTGTTATAGATGTAATAACAAAACTTCGTAAAAAAATATCTCAAGAAATCTATGAAAATCAAATTAAGTCTCAAGAGTAGAATTAGTGTTTTACTACCAACCACAAATTTCATGTTGGCCCAAGTACTCATACGGGAAATTACAATCAAGGATTACTCTATCAACCATCATCTACTTCAGTGTCAACTCTATATCATTTGTAACAACTCAAGCTCGTTACTAGTAGCTTTGGTACACCGCCCAATGTTGACTATATATCATTTGTAACAATTCAAGCTCACTGCTAATAGTTCTGACATTAAGGGTGTACATTCAACTAAACAACCCAGACCAACCCATCTCAAATTATAGGGATTGAATTGGGTTAATTTTTCTGAACTTGAATTGGCTTAGTTCGATTTTGGGATTGTGGGACTAACCCCTCGAGACCCGAGCCAAAAAGAACTTATAAAATAAATTAAGCAATTTAGCATATTTATGGTTATGTCAGAGTGTCGATGAAGCCTTATTGAAACTATTCACACGCTAGTTTGACTCTAGTATTGTACATCTATTTTTTTATCACCAATTACATGCTGGTATTTAGTTGTCTATAGTTCTATGGGAAGAACTATTTTAAATTTGGTTGAATAATTATGGATTGATTTATGTTTGTTTGTGAATTGTTAATATATTTTATATGAGATTGTATGGAATAATTATGAATAGTTGATAAATAAAAAATTTTAAATTTTTTTTTTTTAAACCTAAACTCAAAATAAAAGAATGGGTTGAGTTACCAATCTAACCAACCAGAACTTTTGAATTGGTCCCAAAGAAAAAAAAAGAAAGAGATGGTATGCTCTAAGGCCCAAGAGAATGATACTAACTTACGTGTAATATTTAATATTCATATATAAAGAAGGGGACGAACCCCTATGGTCATCCAAAGTGAACGAGACATGGCGATCTATGAGGTTTGTATCCTAACTTGAAAGAGTAGTCTTGATCTAAGATTAAATATTAATAGTAAAAACTTTTAATTTATTTTAAAAGATTATAATACTCCCTTGGTAACTTAAATATTTTATGATTTTTATTAG